GGTTGAGCTGTTGTTCAGCATCTTAGCTGTGGAGGGCAGTGTCACTGGCCCTCATATGTGGGATCCGAACCAGGGCCCTCTGGCATCCCAAGCCGGTTCTTAACCATCGCGCCACTCAGCCGGCCCTCATTGCTACTTTAAAGCGATTATACTTTAGAGGACACTTTCACTGACATGCAGAGCCTTTGTTCTGCATCTCAAATTTATTTGCCCCTTATTGTCTTCATTCTTACACGGAAGTGGGTACTCACTTTGCAAAACCAAGATGGCTATTAAGATGGTAACCCCCAAAAGAAGGGGTCAACCTGCCCTTGTTGGGAGGTTCAAATTGTCTGTAGATAAAAAGAACTGCAACTCAGGAAGCTTTAAAGACAAGGCTTCCTTGTTCATGTCTATTCATGCGTGTGCACGCGTGTGTATATTTACGTGTGTGTGTGTGTGTGTGTGTGTGTGTGTGTGTCTGTGACAACATAGAATTTCGCCTGAGCCTGTGCTCCTGGAACATAGCAAAGATGAAAGGAATCCCTTCACCCTTTTGTTTTGAAAAACAGCTTACTGAAAAGAATCTTACTTCCCCATATGACTTAGGTAAGCCTGGTGGACCTATAAGGCCGGACACGGGCCCTCCAAATTCTCATTTTTGCCTCATAAATGATTAGCTGAACCACTTGTCTCCACTGATCAATCGGGGCAAAATGCTTCTTAGCCGACCCTGGTTCCGCTTCTGCCCTCCCTCCACGTCCCTGACCTGTGGCCTCGCCTTGTTGGAGCCTGTGCATCAGCCCTCATGAGGAAAAGCTGGCTCAGGGAAGAGCGGCTCTGACCTGCTCTTCCATCATGCAACCCTCATCCCACCTCTCCACGCCTGGCTTTTTCCAGTGTTGTTTACTCCTCTCCATCACGGAAAACTCGTTTTGCCTAACTCGTGAGGGGCTTGCAGATCTTATGGTGAAAGACCTCTCTATGGCCACGGCCCCCTGCCCCTGTTGCCACGAGACCTGCCGAGACCTGCCGTCTCTCACAGCACGAATCCTTTTGAGTAGAGCCTCTCCTTACTCAGCCCAAATTTGACACCAGCCTACCCTGGGGCACCTGGAACGCTGAGAGGGACTGGGCAGTCTCTGGAAATAAGGCTCGTCTGATGGGGGAGACGAGGCTTGGGCAAAAACAAACACAGGTGCCATCAGATGACAATAGAGTAACAGGAAAAAGACAAGGTTTGTTTCACATACATGCAGGAATACTCTGTAAGGAGTGTCTCCTGTCCTCTTTCAATGAGGAGACCAGGCCAGGAGGGGTGCAGGAGGGAGAATGGCGGGGGAGTGGGAGTGTTTAGAGACGCTTGTAGAGTCCCATGTGACTTGGGCTTGGCCCTTAAGAAGAGATGGCCCCCCCCCTTATATAGGCAAGGCCTCTCTCAAAAGCTTTTCACACACTCAGTTCTTACAGGTAAGAGTTTATGTGCCAGCTTAATGGGGTTGGGGGTGGCGCTTAGGGCTTCAGTGGAAAGTGTGGAAGGTTCTGACAAGGCTTACGTTATGGACTGACTGCATACCCCCATGTTCGTATATTGAAGCTTTAGCCTGCAATGTGATGGTTTTTGGCGATAAGGCCTTTGAGAGG